AGTTTGATTAGCTACTTCTAAACCACTTCTGGGAAATCACTATCTCAATGGAATATATCATCCTAATGATCATCCAGTAAATTTGAATTAATCGGTAAAATCTAGAACTGCTTTCACTGAAGAAACCAGAGCTGCAGGATGCACAAAACAAGAAATATGTTTTGTTAGAATGCAGAGCATACCATCATGTTCTAGAATCCTGGTAAATGGTTTTAGACTGGATGCAGATCAGCAGAAACAAAATCTAGGATTTTTTCTTTTATTATTGTTCTGGGTTTTGGCCAAAACAAAATCTTGAAGGATCTGGACTGACTTTATGGGACAAATAGGGTAGGACTGACGTGTGGCATCCACCTCTTCCTTTCCCTTCAAGGCATTTGCACTGGCCTTCCTGCCCTATCTTCCCAGAGCTTTCTGTACCCTCCCTTCAGTAGCCAGTGCCAATGCCCCAGCACAGCATATCCCACTGGACCTCCCTTCCCATCTCTCCAGCCTCTTCCTTTCCTTGCCTCAGCTGACATACTGGCATGTGGCCCTGTTCCTTAGTGCTTTACTCCTCAGGAGTAAAGAACAGCTTTCCTGCATGGCATACCTCACCCAGCCTGATCTTCCCACTGTCTTCTTTCTCTCCCTCTCCTGCCTCCCACTGCCACAACTATCTGCAAATGCTGATCCCTTTTCTCATGCTTGCTCCACTCCTGAAACACTTCTGCCCAGGACAAGTGCATTTTGGTCCATATGCTGATAACAGCAGCCCTATTCTGTTCTGTATGTGGATCAAAGCATCCAAAAGGCAAGTTTCAATTTGGACCATGGACCATCCAAAACAGCTTTATGGAACAGTCCATGCATCAAAAGTTCTGCATGTCTCTAGAAGAAATTACAGTATAAACTGCCTACAAAAAAGCAGTATTACATCTCCATCCGCTAATCAGTTATATATCTGAGATTATTATCTGTGGTAATTACAAGTAATGAAAAAGTAAAGATGCTTTCTTGAAATTTTTTACAACTGGATGTGGCAGCCTTCCTTACCCTGATGTCCTCCAACTGTGCTGGCTGCAACTCCAACAATTCCCAACTAGCATGGCTGAGAGTTATGTAAAATCACAGTTGGTTAAGTTTTCCAGATAGATTCTTCACTGCTCAAGATGAGACTCTTCAGATGTATTCTTGACTTTACTAATATAATTCATGCATTTAATTAAAGACAGCCACTATTTTCCTTTGGGTTACTTTCTGTTTCCTGCTTCAGCACTAGCAACAAGTTATCACATTCAATAGCAAGGCTAACTTGGATACATATAACAACCAGTTTCTCTGATATTATTCAGAATCTTCTTTCTGTCAGTTTAGAGGGCATCCTGTGTTTTGAGAAACTTGTCTTTTGCCTTACTGTTATTAATTAGATCTACAAGACACTATTCCATCTCTGCAAAGTTGGCAACTTTTCATGATATGATTCTATACATTAAATGGCTAGCCTAGTTTCAATTTCTGCAAACAGAGGTGGCAGGTAATCCCATCACTGCCTTTAGGTCATTATATCTGCTACAGAATCTTTTAACTTTATAGAGGTACTCAGTTTATCTTTAGATTTTATATTGGTGAGAACATTATAATAATCAAGAAGTCTTTTTATTGGTGAAGTCTATTTATTTTATATTGGTGAGAACATTATAATAATCAAGAAGTCTTTTTTGCCCACAAGTCTCAGACTTTTCAGTTCTTGGAAATTTGCTCAGTTACTGGTTTTGAGATGAATGACAAAAATTGAATTCATGCCAATGTTGAGTCTCTTCCTAGAATTATGGTTCACAATCTTGCTAATAATGAATACATATTTTCTCTTCCAGGTCCACATAATATAGGATGACAGCATCAGCCATGTAATTGCATGATTATTCAGTGTAAGACCACATTTTTCATTAATCTAAGACATAGCAGTGAAACAGACAATAATCAGCCAGTAATTTATGTTATTAGTTTCCAGTACTCTTCAAATAGCTAATGTATGAACACTGTGCTTAATAAGCTTTTTGAAGTACTTTTATATAATACTATGGACAACCATTGGAGAAAAATGTAAAGAAGTAGTATAGAATTCAGCCTCACTTGGCCTATTTTGAATATGTAATGATAGTTTAGGATAATGATTAGTGGAAATTTTGGATTGCTATTTAGTTGAGGTGGCATTTGGATACTTTTTTGAATGTGTAATGTATACTATGGCTAACTCACGTGCTGGTATTGATTTGATCTTATTCCTTGGGTTACGGGCCTGGGTCAGGCAGAAAATCCCCCACACAGGTAAAAGGGATTGCCCAATTGTTTCCATGTAGCATGGTTTTATCAGGAAGCCAAAGCAAAAAAGGAAGAGGAGGGGGTGCTTCTTTTCCTATCCCGAAGAAGGTTGGTTGAGTCCTGAGAATTTTCGCACTTTTTCGTGTTGTTGTTACAAGTGACTAATCCTCACTGAACTTCCAGTTATGCTATTTCTTAAAAACACAATAAGAGGCATAGTCTAGATACAGCTTATTGGGGAGGGGAAAATTTGGAAAAAAAAAAGAAGGGCAATTCAGATCACATCATAGTATGAACTCCAGCTATATATGTAAAGGAAAAAACCCAGGTTTTTTTTTTCTTAAGCACCCCACCCCCCAATCAGGGATTATGAAATATTTCCTAATATTTTCTTTTAAAATGATACACAGAATTTTTTAAAGAAAGGTGTTCACTAATGCATTTCATTCCAAAATGGTTTCTTAAATGCTATATATACAGAACTATTCACAGATCTTTACAGTTCCTGCACACAATATAATACAATTGTCAAATACTATTTCTTACTCCAGGGTACATTAACAATTATTTTCGCAAAGGAAGGATACTCTTGGACTTGCTTCCTCTTACTGAGTTCTGACCTAGAGATGGCTGTTCTAGCCCTCCACTGGGCCCCAAAGTCCTGGAACGAGCTAGAAGCTGGGAGCAGCACCCACATATTTATAGCTATAAAGGTTGATATAAAAAAAATACTACTGCATATATTTCAACTCTCCCTCCCCAATTCTGTTCCCTTCTAGAAAAACATTAGAACCCCCCCCCCTGTTTTTCTACAGATTTACAAATTTTCTAGAATTTTTACATCGCTAGGTCAAGCTGAAGGAAGAACAATTTGTTTACTGTTGTCCAGGGCCAAGTATTTGAAAAGTTGAACATTTGGCCTGAAATTTGAATGGGCAAAACCTGCCCTCCCTTTTTGTGGTTAATTATGAGAGCAGGAGAGCAAAATTCAGCACCAGTCTTACACAGCTTATGAGTAGAGGCCAGTTTTTTTTTTTTTTTTGCTCTATTTAAGTCTACATTTGTCTTCCTTCCTTGAATAATTCTTGCAGCAGCCTTTTTGCCAAGGAACAGTTCTGCCTCGGAAACTTGCTGTGGATTCTGGGACATGTTCTATTGTGCATGCTTTGTTTGGAAGGGTCATGATTAGGCTGTTGCATCTCACCATCAAATTGAGTGAGTTGGGAAGGCGCATGTCGTTGTCTCCTGGGCAAATTCAGTGGTGATGGGTAAGCTGTCAGTTTCTCCATCTTGCCACAGAACACTCTCTGCAAACCACTGAACTAAACTATCACATTTAACTACCAGTCATTTACAATTTAGTTGGTTGTCAATTTCATGGAAGGGGCCCACAGGAATCTGAAAGACATATTTGTCTCACTCGGCATGCAAGAGGCATTTGTCTTGGCATTCCAAGGCAGAATTACTCAAGGAGGCAAAATTACTTAAGACATTATCTCACCCAGCATGCAAGAGCTATTTGACTTGCTACTCCAATGCAGTACAAGTGTTAGTCTGAAACTGAGACAAAGCCTTTATTATCCCTGGCACCATTCCATCTTACAGAAGAAGGAAAAAAAATCCCACAACCCTACTTGTCATTAAAAGATGATGTGAGTTATATCCTCTATGGAAGATGCATAATGCGACATGATCCACACTTGACTGATACATTGCTTGCACACAAAACATTCAAGAATACAGACATGTTTGAGTCTATTGCACTAGGATTATAAATAAAACAGGCCCTTTAGGTATCACTGAGGTAACTGCAATGCATTATTACAGGTGCTAAAGAATAACCAGTAAATAAGACTATGGAATGGCTGTAATTCTGTACTAAATAACACATTTGCATGAAGATCAGGTATTTATGAGCAGACTGTTGCCAATAAATATACTGTATAAGAAAGATCAATAAGTCTGGGGTTAATGTATTACTGTATTGTACTTTTGGGGCCCCTGTTTTGTTTGTTTTGTATTGGTTTTAAGATTGTTTAAATTTGGGGTTGTCTGTGTGATTTTATGTTTTATCTGTTTCTATGGATTTTTTGGTTTTGTATCAAAGGAAGAGTCCATTGGAATTGGGTGGCTGTAACAAGGTAGATTATTATTTTCTGAAGTCATGCATGGAGAATTTTAAATGTAAAGCGGTACCTCTTTTAAGGTAGAGGTTTCTGAGATATCTCCATCTTAGAACTCACTACTTAGCCTGGAGTTTAACCACACTTCGAGAGATGTAGTTATATGCCCTGAATTTTACCTTCTGAGTAAATAAAATGTGTAGATAGAAAACTGCCAGGTGCTTTAGTAAATGTCACAAACTATTTTATAGTTGATAATATTTTATAATTTGTGACATTGTACAAAGAAGTTGTTTTATAAATAGCATAAGCAGTATACAAATGTACTAGGCTATAAAAGCTATGCACAAGAATAGAAGAAACAGAGTTTGTTCAGGATAGACAACTTCACTCCCAAGTTTCTAGGTTGTTTCCACACAACAATGGCATTATTTTCCTAGTTTAGAGGTGTGTATAGGTCTGTAAAAGGATTTTCACGGGTTAATATTCTGCTCCAAGAACTCCAGAGCAGAAATTCTACTCCATTTTCTGCAGCATGAACCTTTCTGTAAGGAGCAAAGAAGACCCACACATGGAGCATTCTCCACTACAGATAAGGAAGGAGACTCCATCTGCAAAGAGCAGCACGTGGAGCGGAACACTGTTGTCAATAGTACTGCATAAATTACCATGAAGGTAAGATCCTCTCCCATGGTGATTCAGCTACTTAGTTTCCTAGCTGCCATGTAGTGAGATGAATTTTACACTCTGTTTTACTACATCAGCTCCAACATCAAGCAGTTGCAAAGCTATTAATTCTACATCAGCTCCAACATCAAGCAGTTGCAATGCTATTAATCGTGTACTGAACTGTAGATGGAGTAAGAAAGACTATAGAGGGAAGCTGTTTCTTCAGTTAATTTTAGAAACATTAAAAAATGCTTCTAGATTTAATGGTTAAATTGCTGTCAAAACTGCATTATTTTTAAAGGTATTCTGATCCAAACAAATACCTAATACAGAATTCACTGAAAAAATGAATTTAAAGGGCTAGTAATTATAGGTTTTAAGTATCTGTTTGTTGTCATTCTTGGAGTAGAGAAAATAAGCTTTTGAATGGGAGATTGGAGAAGTTAAGTGGAGTATTTGTACCAATATTTTGGCAGGTTAGATATTAAGAGTAAGGTTTCTGCCAACCATTCACAAAAAGTTGGCTTCAATAGAATTCTACATGTTTTAAGTTTCAGCAAGGACTGAGAGGTTGTGTGTTGGTGAGGACTGGCAGTTTCCTTCATGATGTATAAGCCAATTATGCAACATGTGATGCAGCAACCAGAAGCATCCACGGAATACTTAAGGACAGAGATGGGGGTAAAAAAAGTCAAGATGGTGAGAATGATCAAAGCCCCACCCCTTTTTAACATGCATTGCATGCTCATAAAAAAGGATAGGACTTCAATAGTATGGTTATGCCTGCCATCTTGATTTTTTTATTCTCCTGGTGGATGCCCCTGCTCCTCCATATGATAATGTGAATTTTTTTCCTTTACACAGAAATTCTACACCATGGTCAATACTCACATTATAACAGGAGCAGATCTATATTCAGATCTGAGCATGTTCCCACTTCTGTGCATGAGATAATCATATATTTTTTCTTCCTAATGCATGAATCTGAACGATACGTTAGAAGGCGGGTTTTTTTGATAGCAAATGACCATGAAAAAAGAATGGCCATTTTATATGTAAAGCATATACATGGTAAATTCATACCACTGTTGTACTATATAAAATAAGTCTCAGATCTCACAATTATATCTGAGTATATTAAAGGGACAATTCTGAAAACGATCAGATTGTCCAAAAAGGAAAAGAATGAGAGCTGGCAACCCATTTATATAGAAGGGTCCTAAAAAATTGGCAACGGCCAACTTAGTTCTGCAATGCCATCATCGTAGCATGGCTACATCTCTAAGGGGATCGCTATGGCTCATTTGTATCACTAAATGCTGTGAACTGGAAACTTCCCTCTAACTACGCATACAAACTTGAGATGAATAAAATTCGGGGATATGCACCTTGGCCTGAACCTACAAAGCAGATTAGGTGCTCCCTGTTTACTTACTCGTGTTGCAGCAAGTCTTTGAAGTGAATCATCTCCACAATGACCTGGACATTCTCTTTGGCTGCAGAGCAGAGATCATGCTTCTGGTAGCATTCTCGCTGTAGCTGGAACACCATCTCTTTGATGGCGGGACATTTGCGACTGATACAACTAAACTTGTGCCGCAAGGCATGTGCCTTGCATCTCAGGGCATCTTTAATGAAGGATTTTCCCTGAGGTGAGAAAAGAAGAAAAAGCACAACTGAATGCAATTCCATTAAGCATATGTCCTGTGATTGACCTCCATTTTTCTATTTACACCTGGAAGAGAGGCTGCTTAGACAAGCTAGCTCTTCCTATTTACTTTTGCAAGTTGTGAGATAACAAAGGTTTTGCTCTAACCCTAATCAGATAATTATTTCCTTCTTTTGTCGTAGCAGGTGCCCAGTGCCTGCCAGACATTTAATCCTCATTAATATCTAACCTTCCTTTGCTGAAGCCTAAACTGAGCAACTCTGGGGGTGGAGGGGGAGAGAGAAGTTGCAGGGCTATAAAACATGCCCGATGAAAGCAACCCCTTTGCAGCTGAATTTGAGAGACTGTCCTCGCCACATGGGCTCACGCTGGCAGATGGTGGAGGGGCCCCTGGTGCTGTGAGTAATTCATGGGGACAATTTAAATAAACATGATGCTGTTTGTTTTGGTCCTGGAAGTTCTTCTAATGTCTTCTTGCTTCTATATTCACCCTGCAAATTCTCAGTTAGCCAGCAATACAAGAATTTCAGAAAACAGCATAAGACAGAGCTGAATTGCTCCTCTTATCAAGGACTCTTGGAGAGCTATACATAAGCTGTTGGGTATGCTTTCCTGTAACGATAGCCCTGTGCAGACAATTGATTTCAAATTGTTCAAAACCAATGGTGATACGCATTATTCTCATGGCAATACAGAGTCCTCATTCTGATGCCAGCAGACTTCAGAAGGCAGCCTAAAAACTCTCCATGAGACTGTGAGACTTATGTTGTGAGAGGGTTTGGGATGAAAATACTGACCTGCCATTACTCTTTTACTGTTATGCTATGACACCGCTCTCTGGAAACTGACCTGCCAAGTTGACATTTCTCAGTACCCTTCATGTAGCATCTTTGCTATTTGAATAGCCTGAAGTCAGGCATTAGCATGTAACATTCTTTGTGTAGTTATTGTTGCCAACAGTTGCACTGCCCTAGTCTCCTGCTTCCAATCTCTCATGCCTGGCAGGTGAAAGCAACATTTTAAACTTCCCACAATGTCTTTTGAGTGATCCTGTCCTGGTTACTGTGGAAAATCCAATTTATGCAATATTGCCAGCCACTGCCAGTTAAGCCACGTGGACCACAAGAAAGCACACTGCAACCCCACCCCCCTGCTACTGTAGATTGTCCAGGAAGAGACCTTGATTCCATATTGCACGAGAGGACTCCTGCTCATATGAGTGTCTCCCAAATCTACTTCCCACAACATTCAGAAAAGATACTAAGACAAATGGAGGCTGCAAGGAGAACAAAAATCCAGTGTGTCCATGCCACTTGTATATTCTCTCCAAGACTCTTTACTTGCTCATTTTGACTACTTTTCAGAGTTGCTCAGTCAAACTGGAAACACTTCATTCATGATGGTCATGGAAGGGAATGAGGCTATGTTGAAAAAGTGAGTTTTCTGAGTTTAAAGCTTCATCTCAATCTGGAGTTAAAAAGGTTCCACAGTTCTGCTAAAACCTGGGAGTTGACTTACCAATGTGCAAAGCAAATTGACACAGTCTTGCTATTAGTTGACCTCTGTGAGGCTCACCCTCCTCCCTTTTTGCTTGGTCCAAAGGGAGAGCTGGACAGGGATTTATTTTTCACTGCCTCTGGAGGGTGAGGAACCTTGATGATAATGCTAAACTGGTAAGACCAACCTGATTCTACTGATACTAAATTGATAGCACAGCTAATATTGCGGTATGTTCTTGAAAGGTACTTTTAGCCAGATGATTTTTAAAGCATGTGGCAATTGTTAAGAAATTATGGAAGTTGTAGGAGGCATGAGAAGATTAAAATGATTTTCTGGTTGCCAGGCGTTGGGGATTTGCTATCCTAAGTATTCTTCTGCCCCACTGTGGAGGTTAACTAGTGCAATATGGCTTTTGTCTTCAGAGACACAATCCTGTTTTGTTTGGAAATAAACCCACATGAACACAGTGATGCTTCCCCAATAAAAAGGAGTAGTCCTATGCATGGACTAAGTCCATTAAATTCAGTGGGATTTGTTGCTAGATAAGCGTGTATCCTAGGACTGAGGTTCTATCTCTGTAATTGTTAAAGCCTATTTCTCTCTTCTTTTTTCCTGTTATCCATATCTATTCAGAGAAACTTCTCAACCCTAAAAAAGATCATCCTTAAGCCCGTCTCATAGCATTCTGATATCAATATATATTGGTGTGATCGTTTCTTTTTCAACTTCCGCAAAAGTTAGGAAAAAGATGGAAGCCTTAAAAAAGTAACAAAATGTCTGATGCACTTCTAACTATATTTGTGACACATGTAAAGAAGAACTAAGCAACTTATTAGCCTTAGTCCGCCTCCTTTTCTTCCTATTTCTGAAAGTCAGTCATACTTCAGTGATAAACTACAATGTCTGAATAACTGGACAGCAATTCTTTTTGCTGAATGATAGCAAATGGCCACACTCTTGCATTCCTCCCATTTTTAAAAGTTTCCACTCATCCAAGCTAATGAGCACTCACTGATCAATAAGACATAAAGGCTAACTGCCTTTCTTATTCCTACTCAAATTTTATGGCAGCATAATTGTATCTGTGGTTGTGAGAACTGGAACTTCTTCTGTTGGTCCTTCTTTTCTAAAGAAGCAGATAGATTAAACTTGTTTTTGTCTTATAAGACTACAGTGCATTTGAAGGGAAGGGATACTCTCTGCTGATCACTGACAAAATATTTCATTTATTAGTTTGGTTTTTGTAATAGCAAAGGAAGAAACTTCAATATTATTTGGAGTGTGTAAGAGATTATAATCTTGTCTATAGGAACAGTCAGCAAGAATATGAAAAATATTAAAGTGACACTTGAATAAATATATTGTTACTTAGAATTTTTTTAAATAAAAAAGGATGATGGGAAAATGTGCTATGGACTTGAAAAAAAATCCCATTGTGAAAAATGTATATGATAATCTAATACAAGGTTTT